TTGCTTCATACTGTGAGCTTTGGTGCTTTGGGGGATGGGTTACAGGAAAACATACGTTTTGCATGGAAATATATGGGGCATGTTTCCAAAAGTATCCATCAATTACGCCTGTTTCCTCCCATTAATTAAATTGAGTTTGTGTTCATTTTTCAGGAGCTTGCATCTTTGCCTGCTGCTATGTACCCATTTTCAACTTTTTGTTGTTGTCTTGACAATCACATTGCAACCTTAGAAAGGGACAGACTTTGACTGCAGATTACATTCAGTTCCAGTTTTGGTTCTGCAAAGTGCAAACTTCCGATCAAAAATGAATTTCTCATACGTCCTCTATATCTGGCCTGGTTTACTACAAAACCTGGCTTGAAATTACATCTTGACAAGGCTCTGTATGGAGAGGCAGTGTTACGTGTGGAGCCGACCACTGTTTATTTGCTTGCTGCTACCACCATTCTTCCATTTCCGCATTGTATGCTTGCTGCATCCTGTCCTACATGTCTCTCTAAGCTCAGCCTTGGCTGCTCTCCCAGCTTCAATCTCCTTCACTGGCAAATGACTTCTCGAAGCCTTTTAAAATGCATTATCTTTCCAAAGAGGAGCTGATAAACACAGGTGAGGGGGAGAAGGTGCTGGGGGTGGGGGGAGACAAAGCCAGAACCTGCCATATTCCTCTGCTTTATGCCTGCTGCCTCCTGGCCTTTTATGAAGATATATAGACATTTATTATGAAAATAAATTACCAGCAGCACTCAGAAGTCCTTGATAGGAAGGGGGGAAAGCCCCAAGTGTCAGCGTTTGCTTTCTGTCTCCAGGCATGCTTGCGCTCCCGAGAGCAGACAGAAACTTGTTGGCCAGCTGGCAATTTATCAAATTTACTATCCGACAGAGCATTGCGTGTCCATATATGTGCAGGCGGGAAGGTGTACGTGGGCAGTGAGGCAGTGTTTACAATGGGGTTGATAACATACAGAGGCAGCAGCACAGGAAGTCAGTGCTGACAGCGGGTGGAAAACTGGTGACTGTATGAAGGATTGGATCTAAGCTGGTATCGTCCTTGGAGAACTACCAGGACTCCTGTGTCCAGACAGTGCCGCTGCCACCATCTGCCTTGGATTCTCCTGCTTTAAGAGGAGGAGGAGGAGGAGGAGGAGGAGGAGGAGGAGGGATCTGGCCCAATACACCAAGCAGTGTCTGGTCTAGCCAACATTGTGATTTCCCACAATGCCTCCAATATAATGTTACTCCAGGGCATTGTGGGAAATTAAAGCACTTTATTTTAACCAAAGCTCTGACAGCACTTAAATCCTGACTCTATTATTGGCATTGGTGGTATGAGGGGAAAACATTCAAAGTAATCACAAGGACCTGGAAAGCTGCCATGTATCAGCTGAGACTCGGTGTCCATCTAGTCCAGTATGGTCTCCTCTCACTGGCAGCACTGGCTCTCTAGAAGTGTCTGGGCTACAATTCCCAGCATTCCTGGTCACTGGCCACGCTGACTGGAGCTAATTGTTGTTGGGATGCAGCATCCTGTGGAGACCCATGGGTTGCACACCTCTGCTCAGGTGAGGGATCTTGTTGTTCAGTGTAGCCCTCTGGAGACATGATTTGAGGTAGCAGATCTGCTGCAAAGCCCAGATGTCTCCTTGCTTTGGTTATGCTTTGCCTGCTTATGTGGAGATGAAACAAATATCATGGAGATGCTGTAAGTCTCCAATGCTCACTCGTCCAGTGGAAACAAAAACCTAGAACTCAGGGACATTGCTTCTGGAGGAAGGTGAGGTGTATAACAATTGATTTATTCATTTAGAAGGCTTCTATGCTGCCCCATTCGCCGAAGCCTTGGGGCGGCTCACAATAATAAATAAATAAGGACAGAATAAAACAGTATAATATAAGTTGACCTGTGAGTGACAGGTGACTTGTCTTGCCATGGAGATGAAAGGAATTACTCCTTTTCGTTCCTCTCCTCCTCCTTCAGAATTCTTTGCTGAATCCATATTCCTTCTCTTTAGGCCAATCGGTGTGGTATGAGATTTGAGCAAACTCTTCATCTCGTGGCCTTCCATTTTCTTGACCTTCACCTTGTTCTCCTCCTATGCATAGACTACTATGAAAGGATGGCTGAAGCCACCTGGCTTGCAGGACCCTGTGGCCATTAAGAACAAGGCATGCTGCATCCAAAGAGTACACTGGGATGCTGTGATGGACTTCCCCAACAAAGTTCAAAGCAGTTCAAGGTTTGTGTGCTTCAAAGAGCTGCACAACAGACTAAAATTCAACAGGTCAGGGCTAGCTCTACTGTGAGAAAGAGGGAGGTGGCTGCCCCAAGCAACAGAGTTGGAGTGGCAGGAAAGGTCAGCAATATGTTAATTATTAAAGATGATGATGGCAGTTCTACTGACATAGAGGAGGAGAGTTCTTCTAGGATATTTTGCCTCAGGTACCAAGATAGCTCCACCAGCCTTAGATTCTGTGCACCTCATCTTTGGAAGCAAGGTGGACATTTTCTGTGCCATTGAAGGCTGCAAAATACCTTGGGCCAGCCATGCAACAGTTAAAATAGTTCTTGGCCTGGATTCTGCTTGAAACTCTGCTGCTAAAGGCATAGAAAGCTTCCCTTTGGGGCTTCTTCTCATTTGGGTGGGCTTTATTCATTTCAGAAATTAAGTGCTGCTCAGACCGGAAGGAAAAAACAGAAGTGGATCTCAAATTACCTGGAATGAACTCTGAAAGCTCCTCTGGGGAGGAGCAAAAAATAAAGCCCACCTACAACTGGAGTTCTTTGCCCCTAAGAACACATTTATTTATTTATTTATTTTGTCTTTGTGCAGCCTCCAAATAATATTTAGAACAAGTAGTGCAACCAGGCATTCCAAAGAGTTCCTGGGCTGGAGCCAGGGTAGTCTATTCAACCCTTCCAATACATTTAACAGATTAATTTCCAGCTGAGTATAATATTTTAACCCTCCCCAATTACTTCTTCTTCTTTTGCTAATACCATGCCTGGAACTCACAGGGATTTCTGCTGGGGATGATGGGCTTTATTCCTTTGCAAGGGAAAGACCCAGGGACTGCTAACTGACTAAATCCATGAATAAACTCCTTGATGCATTGGCATCATCAGAGGAAAGAAAGAGCAGCGCAATGCCGTCATTCAAGGAAAACCTTCATGTTCTTCTCTTGGAACTGCACGTGCCTTGACTCAAAGATAGATTTGCTCTGCCTATTGGAATTAATTCAACTGCCCTGTTGCATTGGCAAAAAGAAGAAAGAAAGACGGACTGGCTGTGCAGTGCTTGTGATATGGATTTCCTTGTGGACAGAGCCCCCTTCAGGAGGAGAGCTGAGAAATTAGAGCTTGGAATACAGATGAAAAGGTAAGAAAGATGTACAAGAAAGGCCAGGGAATATGCAGAGGGAGGACAGCCAAGATACCCAAGGAAAATGGAAATAGAGAGACATGTTGTCCTGATAGTTTATCTCCAGTCCCGGCATCCATTTTCTGGCCACCAATGTATAACAGACATTGTGACCGGGACAATATGTTGTTCCATGCTAAGAAAAAAAATCAAATTCAAATTCAGCATGCAAGCAATCCAAATTCTGCTCCACCCCAAAAAACTGACTTTGGGACATCTTTGCATAATTTTGCATGTTGTTCTGGAGTTGTTTTGCTAGTCATAGAGAGAAGTAAACGACTAGAGGTGTGATGTGGTTGGACTGGGATTTGGAGAGGTTTGGATTCTAGTCCTTACTCAGCCATGAAGCTCACTGGGTGACTTTGGGCCAGTAATTTGCTGTTAGCCTAACCTGCCTCACAAGGTTGTTGTTGTGAGAATAACATGGAACTTTGCCTTCGGTTCTTCACAGGAGGAAAAAGGCAGGTTCTACATGCAATGCAACAATAACCACTAGGGAGGTCACCGCCACCTAGAATTTATGCCAGCACTTCTCTGGCATTATCTCAGCAGTCTCAAGCCAGTCTTCACAATCATAAACATAGAACTTTGTTTCCTTTCATAAAAGTGAAGATTCTCGGGATACAACTCTTTTTGTGCAGTTTTTCCACACCTCTCCAGAATTAGGGCATACACACAGCCTTGATTATAGCTGTTATTACCTAAAATTTTGCAAAGAACTTTGTATTCACTGTGCAGTTTTTTTCCCTACTGCACATTTTCATAATAAGCCTGTGAGATCAGTCAGTGAAATTTGAGTGTTTTATATGACAAGTGAAGTCTAAGGACCAATCTACACATGGAATTATTTGTGTATTTAGCCTGATTAAAGCTAACAAGCTGGATGGGGGTCCCAAATGTCCCAGTCTGAATCAGCCTTCCCAAACCTCCCCCCCCCCACCCACTCCCAGACGCGTCTATTAGTAATAGGAGGAAATAATGACTTGCTCAAGGTCATCAAATGGTTGAGGGTTGTTTTGTTTTTGTTTTTGAAGGAGATTTAAATCCAATACTCCTATCCACTGTAGCACATTCCTTGCATTTTCAAGTGTCATCAGTCTAATTTCAAACCAGCCAGGTTGTAACATAGAGTTAGTTCAATGTTTAGTCAAATGTTTATAGCCAGATCCAGTGGGGTTTCCCCTTGATTTCTTCTGCCTGACACACATGCCCCATATCTTCTCTAGAGGGTCCCTCAAGCCACTAGGACTGATTTGGGGCTTTGGGGAGAGGAATTTTGCCCTGCCGGGTTTTTTTTCCAGTGCACTGGTGGATGGCCAGCACTAGGTACACAGAAAATGGCCTTATACTGAGTCAGGTTATTGTTTTTTCTACCTCAATATTATATTGAAAGATTGGTGATGATTCCAGGGTTTCAGAGAAGGGCCCTGTGTGGAGATGCCAGGGCTGAACCGAGCTCCTTATGCTTGCAAAGCCTCTGCCTTTCCACTGAGCCATAATCATTCCTGAAGCAGAAATCAGCACCTACCAACTCATAATACTAAAAGGGGAAAGGAAAGAACCGCAGAAATGAAGCATGACTCTGTATTGTACTGTATTTATTTGTTTGTCTTGATAAAAAGGAACACTACTACCACAACCACCCAGGTGCAAATGCAAACACTTTGAAAGATATTTCAAAGTTAAATATTTTATAAAAGAAATTCAGCATTTCTCTATTTTTTGACTGTGCAGAAAAAATAAGCACCTATTTCCTCCATGTGTCTGTTGTTACATTTGACATAGTATCTTCATATATTTTCACTTTAAAATCATTAAAATAACTTCTTTAATAACGTCTATGTATCATTTGCAAAGCACTTGTGATTCAAAAAGTTCTTTACACTGAAGTGCACCAAACAAAAGAAAAGTGGAATCCATCTATAGATCTCTTGGTGATTTACAGTAGATCAGCAAGGATTTCCAACTCTTGATTATCTAACAATACTTACAAATAAACATCCTTTTCTCCCTCCTAAATTATGTTGCAGAAAACAGTGTTGGCAGGCAGAAATCAGGACTGGATTTCTTGCATAAAAGGATATATGAGCTTGGTCCTGGTCCTGGCCTTGAATTCCTGGGCTGTGCATGTTGCTTAAATCTTACGTTTGCCCACATGACTCTGCATTCTGGCCCTGCTCAGGGTTCTAATGAAGCCTGCTCCAACTCTGGCTTATTTAGCATTTGTCATACTTATGACAATCCAGTTCATTTCCACAATAACTCAATCAAGCAGCCCATCTTACGTCCATTTCACAGATGAACTCATGTGTGCAAGGAGGCACTCTACCTGAAACCATGGCTATGGCAGAGGTTGAAACTGAATGCACATCTCCCAATCCAAAGCCCAGCTCTCAATCTTATGCACTAGTGACTCTCTCAAAAGATGACAAAAGTGCATAACTCATCCCAGCGCTACTCCAACTTTACTCTGCTTCTGCACTGATGGGGCAGCCAGCTGGAAAACTATAGGAATTAACTATTTGCTGCATGGTTATTTTAGAGCCAAGTTCTTGATGAAAGATTCTTAGCAATACTGTAACCTTGATTGCAGGTCACATCTTTACGTCTTGGATGATGTGCCAAGTTTAGTAAGCCAATAGCATGTAAGTGCTTAAACTGGCCAGACTCTGGAACTCTTACCCTTCGCTCCACCAGGTAACTTTTGTCCTTTACTCTACTATTCCTACTAGATTTATTAATTACATGCTACATAACTTGGGGTGCATCATGATTTGTGCAACAAGTTGGACAGGACAGGAATCCATATACACAAGTCTTTCTTGGTTGATATAAATAAAGAATTTGACAGCATCCCTAGTCATTTGAAGTGGAGGCGTCCCCTGTCCTGGGTTCTCTGGCCAAGATCAGGGATAGATGGATACACCCATCCAAACCCAGTGCTGTAGGAGGCAAATGTTGACACTTGATACCTGTACATGCAGAAGAGCCATGATCTCTTCAGCAGTCTCAGGGTCTTCAGATTCCAGCTCCAGGAGTGGCAAGAGGAGGCCATGCATAAGCCTGCCACTCATTTGCCTATAGCAGACTGTTAGTTGGGTTATTTTGAGTTCTTCTGCTGGCAAGACTCCAAGGAAGCAATTTTCTTGAAGTTGAAACATTAGGTGACAACATGGTAGCCAGAGCGGTTTAATTTTTTCTGGCAATCTTCTTCTTACGAGCAGCAACCAGGTCAAAGAAGGGGTGATGAGTGATGCTGGTGCTAGAATAAAGGAAATATGAAGGAATATAAGACCAAGCCATCAGCAACATAGCAATCCCCTTCAGGAGGCACAGTAGAGTCACTGGGCTTGAAACTCTGGTAACTCAAATAGACAAAGCAAGCCAGAAGTAGGCAAGCTGGTGTCCTCCAGGTGTTTTGGGCTACAGCTCCACTAATCCCTTACCATTGGCTATACTTGCTAAGCTTGCAGGGAGGTGGAAGCCAGTAAAATCTGGAGGACACTACAATAAATCTGGAACATATTATGGTAATATGGATCTTCTATGCTGGAAAGTAATACACGAATGAACAAATATCAATTGCTAGGGACGAACAAGAGGGGACAGCTACTGACTTCATACCCTGCTTGTGGGCTTCCTGTAGCATGCGGCTGGCCACTGTAGAAGCAGTATGTGGGACCATGGGAGCATCAAGGTTATCTGGTGCTCAGCACAAAAATCTTGGGGGTGAAAGAAGTAGCCAGGGAGGGATAGACATGACATGTGAAAAGAATGGAACACACAAGCATCCCCGGCTCACATAATCAGGGAGAAAGCAAAGATGCACGCCATCCCCTCCACCTCGGTCATACCCATGTTGATGAGGAAGGTCTGCAGAAGCAGCAAAGCATATCTTGCTGAATGCATTTATGGTACTCCATCTGGCTCTGTATCACGTCTTACCAGTTCCTGATTGCATGGGGTTTTGTAGTTGCATTTGGGTTAGCGTGGTTATTTACAACACCCTTCGCAAACCTTCCCCTTTAGCAAAGCAAGCTGGATGTGGAGCAGGTGAGCCTGGAGTGCATATCCCTCATTCCATCCATGCTTACAAGGAAGCCTTCTTTGGGGAACACCTGAAGAACTCTTGACTCAACCTTCTCCAACTTGGTACCCTCCAGATATTTTGAACTACATCTCTTAACATTCCTGACCATTGACCTTGCTAGTTGGAGATGAGCAGAACTGAAGTGCAAAACATCTGGAAATCAATAGGCTGATGAAGGCTGGCTCCACTCCTTTCAAAATATGTTTGCACCGCTCCTTTTCTGCTATCCCAATCCCATGCTTCATGGCCGTGCACATGCATGTTCTCACTCAGTGATTTCCATACTAGGTGAGCGGTTGCATGCATGGATGAGCATCTTAGATCGAACACCGAAACCAGAAATGTCACATGCATTCAAAGGTGATCTTTCAGTGAATTCTATTCAGACATTCTGCTGTGAGTCACCAAGATTTAGCAGGTAATGAAAAAATTAAATGAGGTGCTGGTGTGCAGAGCTGATATGCAATTGCCTGTATCAAAGGGCAAGTTGCAGAGAATCTAAAAGAGCTGGCAACTGAATCTTATTTTCCCACCGGCAGTGGGACAATTCCATTGAGGAGCAGATAGGAAGGGAAACTGCATGGCTCTTGCAACTCCATCATCCAGCAGTTTGCCCCTCTCTTCTAACACCTGAGATGACTGTCTAACTCTGCCAACAGGCCAGCCCTGTTGGTGTGTGAACCACACACTGGACTCCAGGCTGCTGAACTGATGGCATTCTGCCACACTTTGCATTTATGAATGGTTCTTCTTCATCCGGCTGTCAACTTCCCCATGACATCATTTTCCACCCCATATCACCTTGATCCTCTTTGCCCTCACCGTATCATTTCCATCCATCGGTCACGCTCCTCTGGCGTTGCTGCAGAGATCTTGTAGGACTGGTGCTTGCCTTCAACCACCTTGCCATCCCCATCGGTCTTGCAGGCTTTGATCTTCTGCCCTTTGCAGTGGGCGTGGAAGAGCTCAAAACAATTCTGAGGGGAGAAAATGACCAGGAATCTAAGACTGATCAGCAAGCGACAAGTTCTGGCATCTGGTGTATGCATATGTTGTGCTTTAGGTTAAGAAAAAGCAAAGGCACCCCCTTTCATCGCTTGACATGTACACATGCTGAAATTCCCCATGATCCAGTGCAAGGAGATAGAAGGGCTGCTCCTGGAAAAACTGCTTAGGATCTCTTTCGCTGTCTGTGCTTTTATTCCATTGTTTTCTGCAGTGTGCAGTCTTTGCAAGACCGTCTACTATTATATTAGTTCCTTTATTTACTTGAGGAATCTATCCCTTGTAGACCCCACTATGAAGCAGGTATGGGTAAGAAATTTGTCCACATTTCCAGAACCTAGGAACAATCTTGAATGTAGCAATATGTTGATATTTTCACTTTACTCAATTTTCTGATCACTTAGTAAAATTTTAAAACTGCACACAAAATTGGGGCTAGTTGAAGGAAATGTGCACAAAATTTCATGCAATGGGAGAGAAGGAACATAAAGACAGTTAGGGAAAGTGTGCAAAAAATACATTATTTTAGGTGAAATTGCTTGCCAAATAAGTGTATACTTAGAAATGTGTACACAAATATGCAGTATGTATATTTAGATACATGTTCACAGAAGTACACATACATTTTTTTGAAGACCTTATAATACGAAGACTGGTGAAGCAATAGAATAGTAATAATATAGGAAAGAGGGGAAAGGGAGTGGAATCAAACTTGGTAGATATATTCATCTCTATTATGAGTTGATCTGATCTGCACCTCAGGCATTAATCTCAGTCGGATTTCACATTGCCCCAAGTGTTGCCACAAAGTGTTTGGGGCAAACCCACTGCATCAAAAAACATTTAAAATGGTGTATTTTGAGGAACAATACTTCTAAATGCAGTTGATTAGAGAAAATTCATTTGAAAATGTATTAACAGGGCATTTTTAACGTTGTTGTTGTTGTTAGTCGCGAAGTCGTGTCCGACCCATCGCGACCCCATGGACATCATTCCTCCAGGTCTTCCTGTCCTCCACCATCCCCCGGAGTCCACCTAAGCTCATACCAGCTGCTTCAGTGACTCCATCTAGCCACCTCATCCTCCGCCGTCCCCTTCTTCTTTTGCCATCTATTGTTCCCAGCATTAGGCTCTTCTCCAGGGAGTCCTTCCTTCTCATTAGGTGGACAAAGTACATCAAAACAAATCACAGATGAACAGATTTATGTGTTCATCCATGAAATACAACAGATTAGGAGCTAATCCATTTGCAAATTATAGTAATCAGAAATACATCGATTCATCCACCCCTTCTTGTTACATTTGTATCCCATCTTTCATTTGGATCGGGACTACTACATGCATGTGGGAGAAATTTAAACCTTTGCTTCCCGTCTGCTTGTTTTCCTTTATCCAGCGCCCACGCATGTCCTGGGGCTAAAAGCAGGGGCATGGAGCTTCTTTTGCCCTAAGGACTGAATTCTGTTTTGGAGAAATTTGGGGAAGGGGACATGTCCCAGTGGTGGGAAAGGCTGAAGGCAAAAGGAGACCAAAATACCAACATATTTTAGCTTAAAGCTCTTACTGCCAGAAGGCAATCCACTCTTTTGTTGTTGCTGTTATGTGCCATCAAGGCATCTCTGAGTTATGGCAACCCTATGGATGAGAGGCCTGCATGTGTCCTTTCTCTAACAGCCCTGCTCAGCTCTTGTAAATTCAAGGATGTGGCTTCCTTTATGGAATCAATTCATCTCAGAGTTAGTCTTCCTCTTTTTCCGCTCTCTTCTCTTCTTTAATTTCCCTTTTCTTCTTCTGCCTGTGACTTTCCCTAGCATGATTGTCTCCTCCAGTGAGCCTTGCCTTTTCATGATGTACTGCAGCTTTAGATTTTTCCTAATTTTAATCTTGCATATGGGGTTCTAATGTTTATAAACCACCCAGAGAGCCCTCTGGGCTATTGGGACAGTATATAAATGCAAGCCATAAATAAACAGATGCTTCAAGGGAAAGTTCTGGCCTCATTTGATCTGGGACCCATTCACTTATCTTCTTTTGGTCCTGGGTATTTGCAAAGCTCTCCTCCAGCAAATCCAACCTTTTAGAAGAGAGGAAAATGGCACAGAAGCTAGGAAGCTTCTAGGTGGTTAAAGAAAGGGGGCAGGATCTTCTGAAAAATCCTGAAAGACCTGCCTGAGATTCCCACAGGGCTGGATTTGGCCCATAGACCTAAGCTTCTACACTCCGAAGCTAACAAAAGTAAGAACATCCTCAGCTGGTGTTGGTACCACCAAGAAGAGCTCAGAGCAAGGGAGTTACACAGCAGCATTCATGTCAGTTGGCCTGCTAGGCAGGGATCTCTCTGCACCCACAGTGGCTGCCCAACCGAAGAACATTTCAGCCACAGGATTCTTGGTAAGGGTCATGTACCACGGGGCCTTCTTGGCACTGCCTGCCCAAATGACAAGCTGGGTAGTGGGTGTTTTGCTGACCGTTTTGTGGGACAGCTTGAGCGCTTTCTCCTTTTCTGCTCCTTCTGTGGCACTGTGTGCAATGCGTGCTGGGGAATTGCACTCCCAGCCCCTGTGTGGAGTGCTACTAGTTAAGCCATCAAGCAACATGCTGAATGGCTGCTTCCCCCACCTCTGGGAAGGGCTATTGGGAAGATTCATTTGTTCTGATCTGGCACTGGCTTTCCCCAGCCGAAGTTTCAGATGAAATCATCTTGACTGACACCACTAAAGGGTGGCCTCCCTCAAGATGTTGATTAGACTAGACACCAATAACAAAGGGCTGACTCTCAAGTGTCTTCTTGAAGACAGGTGTGTTGTTCCCACTGATATCCATCTCTGAAGATACCTACCTGTAAAAGGAATTGGGTTTTTTTTCCAGGTGCCTATTTTAATGTACTGTGAGACTCTGAATTAGCTTTTGAGCTCTCCAGCTTAACTCTTTGCAAGAAAACTCATTCCCATATGTCCTTTTGGTATATCTTCATTTCACAGTAAGAATCTTTAGGATTTCTAAAAACCTACCAGTCTTTTTTTTCTAATTAGGAGCGTGAGCAGCTGGAAGCAAAGAATACAAAGTGGCAAGAGGGCTTCTGGGGAAGCAACGGGGAGAGAAGGCCTATGTCCTTAAGGAAATACAGGTTTACTTTCAGATTCTGTAACAACAACGAAACATTAAATCTCTAGCCCTTTTCATTACGTAAATGGGGCAAGGGAGACCCAATATTCAAACCTGTGACTTGTTCAGTAAAAGGTAAATCTGCTTCCACCTTTCACTGTTCTCACTGCTAATGAGTACAAAGCGTCAGACTTATACACACACACACAGACTAACCTTCAGTATATAAAATTTGCTGCAGTATAATCCAAAGCATGCTTACTTAGAAATAAATCCACTGTGTTCAGCATGCTTCCAGGAAGCTGTATATAGGGATGCAGCCTTAATAATGTATTTCTATACATATATACTCAGAAGTAAGGTCTATTGCACTAAATAGGCTTCGCTTCCATGTTTTCAGAAGTTTTGTGTGAACTCAAAATGGAAATGTTGGTGTACCTATATTTCCCCACTCCAGTTCTGACTTTGGAGCTAAGGAGAAGACTGGAGAGAAGGAAAAATAAATTCCCTTCTATTCACTTCCTTTTCCTTTGAATATTTGGCTTGGTAGCTCAGAACTTCAAAAATACTGGTAACTGGATGTAGTCAGAGGTGAATTCAGAATAAGGAAAGTTGGGACAGAGCTAGAGTAGATCACTACACCACTGGGACCAGGATGCTTGGTTGGCATGGAAAGTTGCCTAATTGTGGGGGAATAAACAGAAGACGGGGTGGAGTGGGAGAATGGAATAGTAAAGAGCATAGCTAGCTGGTTAGACGCTCGAACAAGGGCACTCCATGCTGCAAACATCTTGTCACAGGTCTACATATACTGCCTAGTTTACACCAAACCAGAAGTCTCCAGAATGAAATCGGAGGCCTTGTCTGCCTGACCAGTCATGCCGCAGCTAACCAACCTACTTGGGGAAGAGGAAACAGCCGTCCCTGTGTTTAAGAAAAGGAGCAAGAAAGTTCTCGTTAAAACTGGGGGCAAGCCACATATCACACTATAAGTGGCATGGACTTACTGGTTTCTTTGGGTCATCTACTCTCCGAACAGATAAATTTTCCAGTGGAATAATCCCCAGAGGCTCTTTGTCCTAGAAAACAGTGCAAATCAGAGACAGGTTACCACCCAGTGCCAATATATACACACAGGATCAATGAAGTCATCAGAAGCACTGCCCTAGGTAACATTCCACCAAGAATGGGTAGTAGAAGAGACCGTTCCCAGTTCTCTGTATCCATGCCATTTCATCAGTAAGAGGGCAACACTTGTGATAGGTAAGCCATGAAATGCACCCTATGCCTTGAATGGGAAGCCCATTGGAATATATTAAATTTGCTTCTTATGAGTTTGATATGGTAGGCAAATCTTTGAAAGATGGAAAGGGGTCAGGAAGAAGTTTCATCCTAAAAAGGCATTCAGAGATGGTGCCACTACAGCCAATGGGATCGCCAGATTCAGTCATTCTGAATCCATTCCATTCTGTCTCATTATGAACTGGAATCCCTGCCTTGATGTCATGAGGGATGTTGCATCATCTTTTACAAAGTCCAGGGAAAAGTCACCTCTCTCCCAAAAGCACATATTAATTTCCTATGCATTTCCAAAAAAAGAGGAAATACATCCTCCCATAAGGACAAAAGAGGACATGTATTTGCATAAAATCTGCATGATACATAGATACACATACACACACAAACACTAACAGATATACAGAGATGCAAATTTAAATAAAAATGCAATATACTGCACATCTTAGCAACCACATGCCTGCTTGCTCTGTGGCTGGTCAGCTCCAAGACTCCTGCTGGCTCTCCCTTCTAGGACTACTCGCCTTTAAAGCAGATTGGATAGGACAACCCTTCAGTTAAAGGACAGCTTCAAATAGTTAAAGGACACCTTCTGCCAGCCCTTCTAGTTCACAAGGGCATCTTCCGGTAGAGGACTGCCAGTTCTTAATATGCTTTCCCCACTAGTCTGCCAAGCATGTGGGAACATCAGGGAGGGTGATTAGAGGTCCCCCCAAAACAGAGGCGGCTCAAAGGGTCTGCTCTTGCAAGGGAGGCCGCCAGTACCCGGCACAACAGGATGTTGAGTTCATGTATGACATGGCCCCAAGCTCCAGTGCTCCTGTCATGTCCAATCTTTCAGATGCTCTGAGATCTTGGAGTCTTAGTAGTGGCTCAGTCATGGTTCGAGCTGGACTCATGCAGGGTTTTATCCATGGGCCTCAGGTAAGTCACTGAGCTGCCTGGATTCTAATGTTAGCCATAAAGTTGAACAGAGCACGTGTTCCTTGAGTTAAGATTTGTTTCAACAAAGCTCTTACCGTGGTAAATTCAAAATAGTACAAGCAGTTATCTGTCAAAATGAACCAACGGCGTTTCCAGGTCTTGACTCGGCCTCCTGGAGAGAAACAAATCAATCACAATTTGTTAGCCCATGTGTGTACACGCACACACATGCGAGCACACATAAATATATAAAGAACAGCAACAGCTGGACTAATCCTTAATTTATGAGATCCAGTTTGGTGGAATGGTTAGAGTGTTGGACCAGGATTCTGGAGATCAAGACATAATATCTTGGGAAAAGTTTCCATATGGCCATAAAACTCACTGGGTGACTTTGAGCTAGCCACTACCCTAACCTACTTCACAGGGTTGTTGCGATTTTAAAATGGAGAGGAGGCCCCTACAAGCCAGCTTGGGTTCCTTGCAAGAAGAAAAAAGGAAGAGATGAGATAATGAGATAATAAAAAATGTTTACAGTAGGTGAGGGTTAGAATTTCTTCTAAAACACTTTAAAACAGGATGGTAGATCCTTAAACGGCAGTAAAACAATGACCAAGCTCTCAAGAAATCTGTCATTTAATACACATACTCATGGTGTGGTGATGTGTTTTGTCTAGAATGTGGACTTAGGTAGGCAACCTGATGCCCTCCAGATGTTTTGGACTGCAAGTCCCACAGTCATACTAGCTGGGCCCAGGACTCACATGAACTGAAGTGCAAAACCCCTAGAAGCACCCAATTACCTACCCCTGGCTTAGGACAATATGGGTTTTCTCAGGTTGAATTGGGTTTTTCAGTCCACTAGCATTTTGGCAAAATAAAAAAGAAGGTATTGTAACATTCCAAAGAGGCTTTTTCCCAAAAACAAAAACAAACAAAGAAACAAACAAAAACCAGGCACAGAGGTTTGAAAAATTCTAATCCCATGCTAGAGGGATCATTCATTCATTTTAGGGTCTGGAGAGGCAAAAGCAAAGATCAATAGTGCAATCCAATGCATGTCCCATTGCAAATAAGCTCCACTGAGCTCCATAAGGCTTACTTTAAAGCAAATGAGCTGATGAATTACATAAACAATTTAGTGTAACAAATTGCATATATGGATTTATAGGGTAATTTCTCTTAGAATGAATTAAACAGTTGCATAACTTTTTGGTCAAATTGTTGGCTCTCAGCAGCAATAGCTCAAATCTCAGCTCAGCAATGATGCTTCCTGAAGCAAGTCACTATCCCTCAGGCTGGCTCAATCTTAAACAGGTGCCCTCCAGATATTTCAGATTGCAACTCCCATCAGTCCCAGCTATTATGGCCCATGATGGGAGTCACTGTCTTAAACATCTGGAGGGTGATCTACCCATCTTGTAGAGTTTTGAAAACAAATGCCATAGGGAGATATTATAAAGACAGATTATAAAGACTGCAAGAACAGCCAGGACAGAATTCTAGCATGATAAATAAGGTGTCTCATGTCATTTGTTCTGGTCTCTATGGACATGTGCCCTAATCATCGCTGGTGAATGTCCTTCTCCAAAGATCTCTTCTGGCGACCTTCTCTGTCTCTCTCTGCCCTTGCCACACGTACAAAGAATCAGGCTGGGTGAGAACAGAGGAGCAAAGGGTTTCTCCGCCTGCTGGCAGCCTGTGTGTTCAGGAGCGGGGCTCTCCGGGGACTGCAATGCACAGTGAACACCAGGGGTCACTGTCACCCCACACAACTGATGCCTGCCAGGCTGCGCTGCTGCAGTGCTCAGCTAATCCGGAGACGCTGCCGGTTTCCTTGAGGGTGGGTTGATTTAGGGTGGAGGGGAGCAGTGAGATTTTCCAGCAGAACAGAAAACGTGTTACCTAGTTTAAGAAGCCAGCCCTCCTGGCTGGGGTTGAAGAAGGTGTGGGTAAGATCATTTCCGTCATCCTCTGGGATGGAGAATGGTTCATTCTTGATGCTGTCGAACAAATTCTGCCTCAGGAAAAGAAGGGAGGGAAGAAAAGGACAATCCTGAAGGGCACCAGCATGCGTCTCACCTTATGCCAGGTCAGTCCACCTAGCCTGGTATCGTCCACTCTGACTAGCCGAGGCTCCCTGGAGTCTCAACCAGGGGGAAGTTGTGTGCATCACCTGCTCCTGATCTTGTTGATGAGAGATGCCAGGGAATAGACTGGTCCCTTCTGCATGCAAAGAGGTGCTCTTCCACTGATCTTCGGTACCTCTGGACTTTTGCAATTAATCATGCAAGAACATCATGCAAAGAACTGAGCTATACCTGCTCCTACACACGGGGCATAAGAGCGTAACAGAAGAGCCCTGCTGGATTAGAGCAAGGGGCCATCTAGTCTACATTCTGTGCACACAGTAGCCAACAAGCTGCCCAGAAGCAGGACATGAGTGCAGCAGCACCTCCGGCCCACATACCCAGCAACTGGTGGACACAGACATACTGCATAGGCCGTGTGCAATGGTAACGCAAACGATATCGCACTGCCAGGACTGTGCACAAGTGGAAAATCCAGCTGAAGTTCTGTGTGCCCAGCTAAGCTGCTGAGCTCACAATTACGAATCAATAACCTCTTTTTTGCCCTTTGGATTGCCTTTAGTAATTGCCACTTCTTATCAATGTGTGTGTGTATGTGAATAGTTATTTTTTAATTTTTGTCTTTCTGTTTTCTTATACTAGAACTGCACCATTTTCTATATTGTAATGAAAGGATAAAAAATATAACAGGAAATGGGCAATTAAAGTACTCTCCCCACCATCACAAACTGATAACAAGAGGCTTTTAGTACAGAGTATTCAAGGGCCAAGTAAGAGGTTGTAACTCTGGCACTTGACAGGATGCAATAAGATGAGCTGGACCTGCAAGCAGGAAACTTTTTGTTAAAGGCACAGAAGCTGCCTCAATAGCTCTTTGCCAGCCCAAACTGGACAAGCTGGCACTGGAAATGCATGTTATATTATATATATATATATATATATATATATATATATATATATATATATATATATAACTGCATTCTGAAACATGGCAAGAGGTTAAGACAGAAAATCCTGCAATGAAATGATCTGTCCATGACCTGATTTGACTTTTCTGGAACAAGCAAACAAATCATGATATTTCCAGAGAGATATTTCCAGAGAAGCACTGTAGGAAAGCAAGCCAATATTTCACCACTCAACACCATTTCTTTCTCACTATAGTTACTCATCTTTGGCACCAACTGCGCCCGGCAGCCTACGCCGGAGGAGGGCCGCCTCCTCGCTGTGTAAGACCGCGCCGCGCCGGAGGGGAGCCGCTGCCTGGCCGCGTAAGACCGCGCCGCCATCCACCGCCCACTTGGCTGCTCCGCCACGCCCCAGCACGTGTGGCAGGCGTGCTTCGGACGAGGCGGGGGACGCAGGGCCGGCGGCTACAAAGGGCGTCGGCCAAAGGACGGTCGCCACCGTTCGGGTGGCCGAGCAGGGGGCGGGGCTGGCCAGGGGCCTGCGCTTGGCGATGGTAGGCCCTCCTGCTGGGCTGTGAGTGAGGGGTGAGTGTGTGTGTGTGTGTGTGTGTGTGTTTTTAGTAGTATTTTAAATCTTTTTATGGAGTCGTCCCTGGCCATGCTGCCGCTTATGTTTCCTGGGGAGCGCACGGGTGCCGCCATTGAGGTGGTTATGGGCAGGGGACGTAACAGCGTTGGGAGCTTAACGTGTCCGCCTAGAAGAAGGAGGGACAGATGGCTGACACCTGTCCCTACTTCTGGTTTTGCTCCCAGCCAGAGGGTGCCAGGGAGTCTCGTCAGTCGCCCCTCCGGCCTGACGGTGCTGTTGCTTAATGCCAGGTCGGTCAATAACAAATCTGCCCTCATCCAGGACCTGATTGTGGATGAGGGGGCCGACCTGGTCTGCATAACGGAGACCTGGGCGGGAGAGGGGGGGGATGTTGCCCTCTCCCAAGTGTGCCCGCCCGGGTATCTGGTCCAGCACTGCTCACGGCCGGAGGGGAGGGGAGGGGGGTTGCTTTGGTTTACCGAGCCTCCATCTCCCTCACGGGACTTCCGGTCCCTTCGAGACCAGGGCTGGAGTGTCTCTATTTGGTGTTGGGCGACCGAGACAGACTGGGGATTCTGTTGGTGTACCGCGCACCCTTCTGCCCAACAGTCTCCCTGCCTGAGCTGACGGAGACCGTCTCGGACCTGGTGTTGAGGACCCCCAGGATGTTGGTCCTGGGGGACTTCAATCTCCATGCCGAGGCTAGTCTGACCGGGGCGGCTCAGGACTTCATGGCCTCCATGACGGCCATGGGGCTGTCTCAACATGTCACCGGCCCCACCCATGAACGGGGACACACTCTGGACCTGGTTTTCTCGACGGGGCAGGAAGAGGGTGGTCTGAGGGTGAGTAATTTATGCTTGACTCCCCTGTCATGGTCAGATCACTTCCTGGTGAGGTTTATGCTCGAGAGCGACTTCTCCCTCTGTAAGGGTGCGGACCCGATTATGTGGGTCCGCCCCCGGAGCCGGATGGATCCAGAAGGATTCCTGAAGGCCCTGGGGGAGTTTCCGGCTGACAAGACGGGTGCTCCTGTCGAGGCTCTGGTCGAACTGTGGAATGGGGAGATGACCAGGGCTGTAGACACAATCGCTCCTAAGCGTCCTCTCCCACCGGGCAGAGCCCGCTCTTCCCCTTGGTATACTCCTGAATTGAGGGCGATGAAGCAGGTTGGGAGATGACTAGAGCGTAGGTGGAGGAAATCACGAGATGAATCTGACCGAACACACTTACGAGCCCACTATCGGGCCTATGCTGTGGCGGTGAGGGCGGCAAAAAAGAGATTCTTTTCCGCTTCCATTGCCTCCTCACAATGCCGTCCGGCGGAGCTCTTTCGAGTGGTGCAAGGCCTGGTCCGTCCAGGTCCAAAGGAAGACCTGATTCCACCCTCAAAGGCCCGCTGTGACGACTTTGCCAGGCATTTCAGGGAGAAAATCGCTCAGATTCGTCACGAGCTGGACACCACTATTGATTCAGAGGTTTCAAAGGAGACACCAACGCTGCCGTCTGGTCCAGATTTATTGGATGAATTTCAGTTATTGCGGCCCGATGATGTGGACAAGGTGCTTGGGCGAGTACGTCCAACCACTTGCCTTTTGGACCCTTGCCCGTCTTGGTTAATAAATGATTCCAAGCACGGGATTGGAACCTGGATCTTGGAAGTGGTTAACGCTTCTCTGAGGGAGGGTCGGGTGCCTGCCCCTTTGAAGGAGGCGGTAGTCCGACCGGTCCTGAAGAAGGCGTCACTGGATCCAGAGATGGCCACTAATTATAGACCAGTGGCCAACATCCCGTTTCTGGGCAAGGTGTTAGAACGAGTGGTGGCGGGACAACTCCAAGCACTCTTGGATGAAACTGATTATCTGGACCCATTGCAGTCCGGCTTCAGACCCGGGTACGGTACTGAATCTGCCTTGGTCGCCCTGTATGATGACCTGTGCAGGGAGAAGGACAGGGGGAGTGCGTCCCTGTTGGTTCTGCTGGACCTCTCAGCGGCTTTCGATACCATCGACCATGGTATCCTTCTGGATAGGCTTGCGGGATTGGGGGTTGGAGGCACTGCTTTGCAGTGGTTCCGCTCCTATCTCAATGGCCGGTTCCAGAAGGTGGTGCTGGGGGACTATGGCTCTGCGCCATGGCAGCTATGCCATGGAGTACCGCAGGGGTCCATTTTGTCCCCTTTGCTGTTCAACATATACATGAAACCGCTGGGAGAGGTCATCAGGAGGTGTGGGCTGCGGAACCATCAGTACGCTGATGATACCCAGCTCTACCTCTCGTTTTCCACCAATCCAGGTGAGGCAGTGGCTGTGCTGAACCGGTGCCTGGCCGAGGTAATGGGCTGGATGAGGGCCAATAAACTGAAGCTCAATCCAGACAAGATGGAGGTCCTGTTGGTTGGCGGATCGGGCTTCGGAGAGGGTGAATTGAACCTTGTCCTGAATGGGGTTGCACTCCCTCTTAGGGACAAGGTCCGCAGCTTGGGAGTGCTCCTCGACCCAGAGCTTTCACTGGAAGCTCAGGTAACAGCAGTGGCGAGGAGCGCTTTCCTCCAGCTTCGGCTAATTCATCAGCTGCGCCCCTATCTGGAGAATGACTGCCTTGCGACAGTGACACATGCGTTGGTGACTTCCCGTTTGGACTTCTGTAACGCGCTCTACGTGGGGCTACCCTTGAAGACGGTCCGGATACTTCAATTGGTCCAAAATAGAGCTGCCAGGCTGCTGACGGGGACTGGACGTTATGTTCACATGACTCCAGTTCTCCGTCAGCTTCACTGGCTTCCCATTGAAGTCCGGGCCCAATTCAAGGTGTTGGTTATGACCTATAAAGCCCTAAACGGCTTGGGTCCTGGTTACCTGAAGGAGCGCTTACATCCTTATATGCCCAGCTGCCCCCTGAGATCGGCGGGAGAGGCCCTTCTCCGGGAGCCCTCCATGGAAGAAGTTAGGAGGGTGGTTACTCGGAGGAGGGCTTTCTCAGCGGTGGCGCCTAAGTTATGGAATGCGCTCCCCAGAGAGGTCCGCCTGGCGCCGTCATTATTTGTTTTTCGGCGCCAGGCGAAGACCTTTTTATTTAAGCAGTATTTTAAATGTTAATATTATTGAATTTTATTTGGCCAGGGCGGCTTGTTTTATAGTGTATGTTTTATATTATATATTTGTATTTTATTGTATGTATTTTAAAATGTTATTTTATTTTTTGTTGTAAGCCGCCCCGAGGCTTCGGCGAATGGGGCGGCATAAAAATGTTTTAATAAATAAATAAATAAAATAAAAATAAATCCCGTCACATGCTACAAGGTAATCTCCTCATCCACTGTCCCTTCCCCTCATCAGACCAAACTTGAGTTTTGGTCTCCAAATATAAACAGCACACCCTTTTAGTTTCAGTAATTTATTCTAAGCTCAGCAAGTGGGTTTCCATGACACTTTCATATTGCTGAAAGCACAGAAACTGACTCACTGATATGGGGATTTTTTGCTCTCCTTCTGAATGCTTATCTCATAATGTAATGACATTGGAGCTACTGGAATATGATGTCACCTATTATGTAAGTGGCCTGCAACTACCTCCGGATTGCCAAGAGCAAGAAGTCTGTTGTTGCACGGAAAGGGCATCCGTGGTTCCCAAAGAAAACCAGAGCTGCGCCCTGAGGGACAGCTTGGTTTGAGAAACTGTGTGATCCCTGAGGCTGAATTTGAAAGGCACTGCGACGTTCTTGCAGAAAATGTCTGTGGCTGTGCAGCAAAAAAGATGGATGCAGTGAAGCCCTCACTGCCCCTGCTTTGCCCAGTGTCAGCCCCTGGTTAGGATATGGCCTTCCTTGCTAACCTTATAATGCCGGACAGCCACAATGTCTCCAACAGCAAGGAATACTGAAAACCTGGGTGTATATAAAGGTGACGACCATTTCCCCAGGTCTTAACTTCCCTGTGTACTTATCAAAGAGATTGGTATTGATTGGTAGCTTCACAACATCTTGCTGTCTTTAAAAGCTGAATACAATCTACAAACTGTCCAAAGAGCTTTGCCTGAGGGGCAGTATAGAAATGAAATAAATAATCAACTGATCTGTAGGAATTCTGAATGACACACAGCTGTAAAAAGCATAGGAATCCTTTCAGAATAGTGGAGTGCAGAACAACTGTTACTTTGCTGCTACTAGCTTTAGTTCGGAGCTATCAATTTTTCTAGTTTTTGTTCTGCCTTTCTTATACAAATTCCTTATAGTTTGCAGTTTCTGGATCGACTTCCCCTCTCACTTTCCACCACAAGTCCTGCAGAAATGCATGTGGCTTGCAAGCCCTTGCACATCTGGGTGGTGCCATGCCCTATGCATGGCCGCAAACTCCCCAGTGTTAGTACTCTGCCCTGCAAGTGGTAGAACCAGAGGTTTCATTTCCTCCCACTCAGAAGTCCACTTTAGGATCAATCATTCCTGAGGCTTCTGTACAATATGGCCAGAACCAGGTAGCATGTAGGTGCAAACTCCACCATTCTCAAGGAGGTATTTTTAATTCCTTGGCTCCCAACAGGCAGACTAAATGGGAAAGCATGCCACTTTCTTACCCTGAGGAGGGCTTCGTGAAGGTCTCCTCCCTCGTCGATGCCTCTGTTCATGGACACGAACCTCTCAAATGGGGGCTTGTCTTTGACATTTGGATTGTGCAGACTGGTGTTCAGCATGATGACAGAGAAAGACAGGATATAGCAGGTGTCTGCAGATAACGAATGGGTGGGTAAGTGCCTGGCAACGCTTTTGGATTCGAAGAGGAGCCGATAAACAGGGTGGTCCCAGGACCAGGACCTCAAAAGCAAAATCCAGTGAGAACCTCTAAAGCTCAGGAGACCTATTTGGTGAAGTTGGGGGTGAGGTGAGGGGATGGATTCTTGCCAACAATGTCCCAAAGACTTAAATTTGGAAATTTGGGGCACTGTGGCAGAAATAAATGGCTGCTGCCATAAAATTATGGCAGGCTGTTCTGTTTTTGTAGGTTCAGTCTTTCCTCCATGCTTGTAAAGCATATACCAGCATCATTTGCTGTACCGTCTTTGGAGAGGCAAGGATAATGGGGAAGTGAGTACTCCTTCACAATGTGTTCAATAGGCAGCTTATATTTCGCAGAAAGAAAATGATCATTTGGGCCTAGTTTGGCATTAAAATTCCCCCTAAAAGGACCTTATCTGGAACATTATCTACTATTAGATCTTCAACATAATGTTCCAAGTCAGTCCAGATAGATATAGTAATTGTCTTCCTTTGTTGTGGGGGGAGATATATATTCATCATCAATATCGTGACAGAGACTAACTTAATGAATAATGCCATAGTCAGATGATTCAGTGGCTGTAATAAAGTCAACTTGGCCCTCAGTGTGGTGGCTACCTAGCTCCTTCTTGAGCCTCCCTGAGCCCACTCCAGGTATTGCCCTGCTATTGTAGGAATGATATCCATCGATCAAAAGTTCCTCATTTGTCCATGTCTCTTGAACTAATATTGTGTTGTATTTCTGCTGGAAAAGAGAATACTCTTGGCTTTTATAGCATGCCCTTCCTGCTACATTCCATGAGATAATTCCCAGAGGTTTTATTGTGTTTTGCTTATAGTGATCTAAAATTTGCCAATTTGTCCACGCTGGGACCTCTTACGCTAGCAGTAGTGTGAGAGCAGCTTCCAGTACAGGGAGGAGGAGGAGTGGGGCGGCCCAGCAAACACAGGGTTGGAGGAGAAAGTTGGTTGGTTCACATTCTAATGCAAACCTTCCTAATATGTACTTCCCAAGCTAATAACTACAACTGAGCCATACTAGCATTCTTTTGCTTTTCACCCACTGAACACTCCTCAATACTGTTCGTATTTACCACAATCTGGTCCCAAAACACAGTTTTCAGGTTGAGAAAATGTATTTCAAATGCATACAAAATAATTATGTATAATATTATACATAAAATTAACATGCAGCTTAGCATATAAAATAACATGTAACCATAATAGTACAAGTAACAATAATAGCAACATTATCATGAAATATTAAAGGGAAAAGCTGCATACAAAAGAGGGTGTATTGGGAGAAATGTGCATGAGAGTGCATAAAAATATTCATGCAGACCTTTTGAAGTTAAAACAATAAACTAATGTGAAAATGAGACAGAATTACCTGATAAAGGGAAGCTGAGAAACTGAAACTGATACATTCCACTCCTACTAATGGACAAATACCATCTTTAGGTACAGCTGAGGAATTGGATCTTTGCACATTGTAATACTAACCAACCTAATCTGTACATCTTGGACTAATTTGCAGATTGGAAGTAGCAATCCTTTGGATTTGCAATGAGTTCTCATTTTTTAAAAACCCTATCAAAGTGGGTATCTTAGGACAAATTTGATGTAGGATTATGTATTTTTATGAGAAAATACATTTTAAAATGTATGAACACTCTTAGGGCACAACCCTGTGGCCTCCTCCACTGTGTGTGGGGTCATAAGTTTATCTGGCATCCCAGCTCTAAGATCTCATGGCCTCAGTGCTGGGATTCCAAGGGCTGACCCCACACCTGCCCCTTTCACTGCTGGTGAGGCAAGGATTGCGCTGGCTACTGTGGGGCAGGGCAGTGAGGATCAGGCTGGTCCACAGAGCAGCCCCACTTCCAGGCAGCTTCCTCTGAATGGCTGAAAGGGCCCATCCAGCTGAAATGCAGGGTAGACCAATGATCATTACTGCGCCTCATTCCATGCACTGGATGTGGGTAAGCCTCTGAGTTCAGAGATTTATATGCATCGCAGTTGGGAGTGGGGTGGGGGGTTGGATTGCAACTTTGCAGATTTTGTGCTTAAAAAAAAAAGAACAAAAATGCATACTAATGCAGAAACAAGCTGGAACAGAGTTATCAATGAATTCATGCAAAATTGATGCAGACCAGAAATAGACAGATCTATCATTTGTGCTGCTAGGATAAGCCCATGCTTCATTTTGGCAGAATCATCCACAATTGTCTCCATAGATCCTCTCCCACTGTTACCTGTTGACTGGAAAACTCCAGGGTTGCACTGACAATACCGGGTGGCAAAGGCCTCCATCATACGGTCAATTTTCTGTGCCTCCCCAGGCAAACGGAAGCTCCACAGGAACTGTCTGTAAATGAAACAATGTTATCAAATCCTTCTGATGGGCACTACAAAGATGAGACTGCTTTTCAGCGTCGCTGAAACCCAATAGCCACAGAAAATCAATGGGATTTGCTTCATGATCCAGGAAATCTGGTCACACCTGATTTGCTGGAGCTCCTCAACCATTGCAGCTTTTCTTTTGAGCTTTAAAGGAGCTTTATAGGAGCTATCAGTGGTGCTGAATGCCACCAGATATCTCCTAGAAAGCTGAAAAGAAAAGTGGCAATGAATGAGGAGCCCCGCTGACATGGGAGTCACCAGTCGCTCTGGTCTTAATGCACATGACTGGAATTCACCTACCTGGGCACACAAATGACCCCTCTCATGTGAGAATTGACACCCTATTACTCTGGCTCAGCAGCACCAGGATGTCTGAAAGTTTGGGTATGGGGGGGAGGAGGGTGTCCCCAATAAGCACAGGTAGCCGCTGTTATGGCCTGCCTGGGAACTCACTCACCGAAGTGCTTGCACAAGGTTGAGATTAGCAAATTCGTGGCATTCTACAAAGGCCTGCAAAACCTGGAGGTTCATTGCATCCCTGTGGAAGAAAGAGGCACAGTGACATGGGAAGAGGGCAAGCAGGTCTTTCCCTCAGACCCATATTCTTCCCCATAGCCTGCCAAGCAGAACAATGCACAACTGCACCCATTCCCTGGGACAAAGGGGGTACATACCTCTGACCCAAGTATTCTCCGATGGCTGTCTTACTGAGCCCTTCTCCTTGGTAAAGGAATTTGGCAATTTCTTGTGCATCTGATGACAGGACTTTGCTTTCAATCAGATGTCGGATGCCCTGTTTGAGAAACACGGAGTCATGACAGGCCCTGCATTTGTCCTTGAGGGGCAGGGTGCTGCTTCTACAGGGGATGATCTGCCTTTGCCCGGATGGTTTGGCCTCAGGGAGGATTCAGGTTAGACTGCAGCCCTGCACTCTCTCAGCAAGGGTGGGATGCTGGCTTTTTCATCTTGCCTCTCGCCCACCTGGACTGCCCTCTCACCAGCCCCCTTGTCCTCCTGTCAGCCTTTCTCTCCTGGCTGACACTGGGGCTGGTTGGACTGGGGCACTGCTGAGAGAAGCTCCCGGGCCCAATCATGCAAAGCGGCAACACTGCCTGCAATGCTTCCTCTCGAGATGCAGCAGGACTATTTCTGCTGGCCCAGCGTGGGGTGGCGGTACCCATGGTGATGACACCAATGGGGGTCACCCCTTGCGGGGAGCTGCTTTGGGCAGAATGCAAGGGCAACCTCCTGCACAGTGCCCTTTTTCTCAGTGTATGAGGGAAGGGGGTTCCTCTTCACAAGCCCTGTGTATGTGCAGTGGAGGATGGGGATGGAACTGCAGGGGGTGGGGTCTGAGCATGACACAATGAATAATAATGTTGCTACCAAGCTGTCCTCAGCTCCCCAATAAACCTTAACATTTGCATTGTCCATCTCTAGCAAAACTTCATCCCCATTTAAGCGGCACAGTTACCACTGGCAAAAGCCTGCACCATTGGATAGCTGCTGCTCCACTGATGTTTAGCAATCACTTAGTCACTGTGCTTTTGCATCTCTCTGTTGTGTTGCCTGGAAGGGCGAGTAAAGGAAAAAGTATGATGGGACCAGTGCTTTTTATGTCATAGAACGCACCGGAACAGAGTTCCGGCACCTTTTTTCGACAGATTTTCCAAGTTTTAAAAGTAAGTTTTGAAAATTTGATGTTTGGTCCACGTGGATTTGAATCGCCCTGTCGAGCGTAGCAGGTCGGTGGCAAAATCATTAAAACGGTGCATGCGGGCTGCTTGTGTGTCGAATCCGATGCATGCGTACTTCGTCCGCGCTGGTTGTGATGGCGCTGCTCGGCCTGTGATTGGTCATGTGGTCGCACGCTGAGTGCTTACTGCAGGCGGCGACCATTATGTTTCGTTACACAACTGACGTGTGTGGGTGTGTGTACAGTGATTGACTATATGCGAAGGTAAATAATTTCATGAGTTCCGGCACCTTTTTTCTTACAAAAAAAGCACTGGTTGGGACCATTGGAAAGAAACAGACAAGAAATTTAGCATAGGCTGGGGACAGTTGGCATAATACACAGGTGTTATTATACCAAGGAAAGAAAGAGAAGAGTAGATGCACAAGTTCAAATTCCTTCAGTTCAGGGTGAACTGTCTGCCCATGCTCATCAACATTTCTTGCAGCTATGGAGGATGCGTGGAAACACAGCAGGTTCGAGCACTAGGGATGAGCAGAGGCACTGAGATGAGCTTTCACGGGAGGTGGTTGAAGGCCCATCAGTGAGGGTGTTTAAGGACAGACTGGAGATGCACATGGTAGGCATGTCATGAGCAAAGCCAGCTAGAGCTGGGAGTCAGTCTGGATGGCTCAGGAGGCCCTTTCTGACTCACTCTGTTTGTTTCTGTGTTTCTAAAACAACTACTCATTCTGAATATTGCTGCTTGCGGTTTTTCCACTAAAGCAGGGGCTGTCAACTATGCAGAGAAGAGGAAGGTATGTGATGTGATGCACTCTTGTTAGGCCTGTGAACTTGCACATATTCCAATGAGATGCACACACCCATTATAAGGAATCTTTCTGTTGCCATCTTGGATTTATGGCAGCTCTATGAATGAAGGCCCTCCAAAACGGTCTGCCCTTGGCAGCCCTGCTCAACTCTTGTCAACTCAAGGCTGTAGCTTCTTTCTGGAAACAATCCATCTCATACTTGGTCTTTTTCTTCTTCTGTCTTTGAACTTCCATACCATTATTTTCTTCACCAGTGAGTTTTGTCTTCTCGTGATGTGTCCAGAATGTTAATAAATGTGTTACTGTGATGTTATTCACCTCAACCATGTCTGAGTGTGGATCTGTTTGGGTGGGAATTACCTTCTTAGCCATACACTCCCTATTTGCCAAGAAATCATAACTGTTAAAGGTGGTAGAATCCACTTGTCACAGTTTGGCTCTGGAACTCCCTCTCTGTGGACAGTCAACTGGCCCCAACACTGTTGGCAGTTAGGCATCCATTACAGGTGCCCCTGCTTCTTGCAAGGTGTTGACACACAGTGAAAACTGATGGTAGTGAAATTATTTCCTTCTGCTGCAGGTTGATGCTGTGGTATTGGTTGTTGACTGTGATTTTGTGTTTTCAGAACTGGCCTTAATGTTGATTTTTCATGGAGAATGTTAGGTGTTTTGAGCAATATTGAGAGGAAGAATATAGCATTAAAAATTAGTGTGCATATTCTGAGCTGGTGGTTCTAATCTGTTCTCTGATGTTTGGTGCCATCTATGTTTGGTCCATGGGTCCTGTTGCCTGAGTTGCAAGGGCCAGGTGCACATGATGGCCAGGATGGGGCTGGCAGGCACAGCCCCACTTCCCCCACATACAATTGTAACTTGGCTGAATGAACACCTGAATAAATTGTAGGGGTACAAAGATACATCTTACTTAAGCCTGTGAATATGCTGCACTTTCTTTTAAAAAGTTTTGTAGTCTTAAATACAAGAAACTTGCTTCTTAAAGCTAAAATTTTCCTAAATTTTACGGTCAATCACCAATTCCAGTACATACAGTACAAAACACACTTGCACTTGATCTTACCTTAGCAGGATCCATATTAAATTTCTTCCGACCTGTGCAAAGATCTTTGTCCCTCTGGATCATTTTGCTATAAATATAAAGGTGAGAGCTAATGCAGAATGAACTGAAGAAGAACAAACTTTTCTTCTCTGTTACATGTTAGTTCCTAGCAAGATATCCTAAATCATTCCTATTCTGATGCAGTCCAGGGAAATTGACAGACCATTGCTCCACCATTTCACTTAAGTGCATTGAAGTTGAACACTTTTATGATTCACTTCCTTCAGGCTGAACCAAAATACAATGCCAGACTGAACAACACAGGTGATCATGCACAAGGATAGGTTGCTGAGTATTGTGTTGTTGTGCATATGAGCACATTCAGGTCTGAATGCTTGTGCATTTAAAACCTCTGCAGGCAGTAATCTGGAATGGGAGATCAGTGTGAAAGGCAGGTGCACCAAACCTCTCTCAGCCTGAGGGCCAAATTCAATTTCATAAATTTGAATTTGAGGGACCACATTGCAGGAGTGAGCAGTGCTGAATGCAAAGGGCATAGGCATAAATGCAAAGGTGATGGGTGGGGAAAAAACCCTAGTACCAGTGTATTTTATCTTAAACTTCTTACTGCCACTAAGTTTTAGCAGAGGTGTTTCAGCCATGTAGAATAAGGTCCCCTCCCCTCACAAAAGCTAGGAAAGTACCACAAATGTGGCAGTGAGAAGAAAGAGGTGGTCATTAATTGGGAATCCCAAAGAGCTGGACTGAGGGCTGGACTTGGCCTACCAGCCAGAATTTCAATACACCTGCTTTAGAGAAAGAGTTAAATACCTCCAACTGTTTCTCCAATTCCCCCCAAAGCACTTTTCCATTCAAAAAATGCCCAGCAACCTATTGGTACCCAAGTTTGGATGTAACATGCTGTTTGCTCTGCTGTAAACAGTAAACACACAACAGAACATGCCTTAATTTGGGGCACCCTCTGTCCCTTATCCAAACTACTGTTGTGACAGGGTTTCAGCCTGACCACCACATCAGAAGCAGCATCTGGATCAGGTGTCAATATGAAAGAACAACCTTTTCCTTCACTCTTTTCACAACTATGTCAAATGGTAGGGCTGGCCTTGTCCACAGCTCTATGGAGAAGATGGCCTTCTCTGCATGGACCCTGAACCCTGAGCATGAGGGAGAACTTGTTACAGTAGACTTCTCTCTGGGGATGAGGAGCAGTTACTAGACTCCAAAGCTGCAGTGGAGGAAGGGATGTGGCAGGCCAGACCTTTCAGGTAAGGAAGTCTGACTCAGCCCAAATGCCCAAGCACATTCTCTGTCCTGAAGATCAATGGTTTTGAGAAGGCAACAAAAGGCACAATTTGTGGCCCTTCAATGGTACCACAGTGCAAAGGTCCAAAATCCAGAGCACTGTTCCTTCATTTTTTTAACTTCATTGGAAAGTGGGCTTGGAAAGAGGGGATATGAAACATCCCCTCACTTGGGACAGCAGGACTCTGATAGCTTTGGGTGAATCAACATCTGCTCTCTCATGGAGCACTACCAGGTACAGTAATATGCAGGGTTGACCAGTTGCCTGTAACTGATCATGCAATGTTTCAGCCCACTGCTTGCCACCTATGAAGTCAGTTCAGAGCCAGCCTGATATCCAGGGTGGAGAAGGTAGAAACTCCATCAGCACCCATGCCAGGTACAACAGCAGCTGATCAACAGCAGCTGATTGGACTGGCAAATGAATCTGACTGGCATTGGTAGTCCAGAAGCTCCTTATTGCTCTCCACAATGCAGCATCTGCCACATTCATTGTAGGGCTGGGCCTGAGCTATTTGCTTACTGTTTCCAAGCATGTCCCTTTTGGCTTTACCCAGCATGCTGACAGCCCTCAGTCTCATCCTTGGGAAAGGATGTGAGGAGACTCCCTGTTCTGGAAATGGTTCTCAAAAGGATCAGTGTTCATGAGAAGCATGTTTTCTTTAAAAATAAAGCTTCAGGTCCCTTCTGTATGCAGAGCAGAGGTGTGGTAGAAGAGGAATACTAAGGAATGTAGCTTCGGGAATTTTTTTGGAGCAGGACCATTAATGTCATATCATCTGCCTTAGCAGGAAGGTAGCCAATAGAGCTGCCCTGCTCTGGCAATAGATTAAATATCAAAGCTTGCATGTCACTTGCTTGTGACAAGATTATAATAGAAGTCAAAGAAAAGGGAAAGTAATTAAGCAAAGGATGCTCTGCTAGTTCTCTTCATCTGTGGCTGGCTTCTCACCTTGTTTGTGTTTGCTGGAAATTATTGATCTCTTTCAATATTTCAGCAATCTCATCATTTATCTTCTGTAAGAAACAAAGAGAAATAATGAAAGGAAAGAAGAAGGAAGAGAACACTGGCTCCTTTTCCTTATACACTTGTGAATGGAAAGCAAGCAAAGATTGGTTGCATTGTATTCTGGTTATTTATTTATTAAATATATATACTACCCAACAAATAAACATAAGAAAATAAACCACACTAGACAAATCCAAGGCTGTATTTAGTTGTGCATTCTGTTCTTGCCGTGGCCAACTAGGTGCATGCAGGAAACCCACGAGTGCACACAAGAGGACACAAGTGCAATAGCACTCTCCTACCCATGATCCCCAGCAACTGGTGTATATAGTGGAGTCATAGAACCATCACAACTAGTGGCAATTGATAGCCTTCTCTTCCACGAATTTGCCCACTCTGCTTTTAAAACCATCTAAATTGGTAGACATCACTAAAATTTGTTGGGAATGAATTCCATAATTTAACTATATCCTGTGTGAAGAAGCCCTTCCTCTTATCTGTCCCAAATCTTCAATCAATCCCCTTAATGGGATGACCTCTTTGGATTCTATTAGAATGAGAGAAGAAAAACATCTTTCCACTTTTCTCCACACTATGCATGATTTTTGCATCTCCATCTATGCCTCCTCTTATTTTGCCTATTTTTTTTCTAAATCGAACAATCCCAGCTGTTGCAGCCTTTCCTCGTATCGTTACTCCAGCCATTTTAGTTGCCCTTTTCCTAACTCTGTACTGTTCTGGACTTTTTCCAACTCTACGTTGTTTTCTTTAGGTGTGATGACCAGAATTGTACACAGGATTTGAAGTGCCCTCAGGGCACTTAATGATCATAAAAAACAAAGCCAACAATGAAATGACAACTGAAACAATGGATTCAATGATCAACTTGCCAAAATAATCAAACTTTAACACATGAAGGACACAATCCTGTGGGAAAATCCATAAGCCTGTGAACTCGGGGCTTGTAGACGTCCTCCACAGAGTGGGTGGAGCCACAGGGACTCCTTGCTTCCCAGCCTCTCAGTCTGTACCATTGTTAGGTGGCCAGTTTCATCAGTGCAGCTGTAGCACCTCAGAGGAAGAGGAAAGGAGGCATCAGGGGAACACAACTCTTCATATCGTGGCTTCTGCAGCCTCCTGCCTGCCACCCCCAGAACACCTATTTTTACCCCTCTGAGGTCAAGTCCTCTTTTCCACAACAGCTGCAGGAGAGGGGTTGCAGCTCTGATTCCCAGCTTTGAGACCAGGTGTGACCCTGCCCTCAAGACTGGAAATCTGAACTATCCTATGGCCCAGCAGATGGTACTGGGGCCATAGAATCACTCCCTCCTAATATTAAAGAGACAGCAGTGGCATTAATAATCAAAGCAGAAGATTAATTGCCTGCTGGGAAATAACATTCTTAACTCAGGATGTTGGAGAAAAACATAATGAATTCAAATGTCTTTCGATCTGTATGACTTCAACTTGCAGATTTTACAGTTTTTTGCAGTTTTTTAAACTTCCTTGAATTATATGCAGATTTGGACAAGGCTGGGAAGTGTGCTAATACAGAGAGTATTTAAAAACAGGAACACGATGATGAGTTAGCCTCTGCTGCGCAATGATCTTTGTGTCTGTGTGTGTGAATGTCTTGCTTATTGATGGCATGCTGAGCTAAGGAAAATACAAAAAATACTGCATGCCAGTGGAAGTTCTGTAAGTTGTGGTGGACCTTTCTGCATACTTTTTTCAAAGATGGTGCAGGGGAACGTGAATCTATTATGAAAAATAGAGCTGATAAGGCCTGACAATCTGCAAAACAGAGATCACATGGATTGAACTAAACCTGTATGTTTCTGTTCTTAACCTGTGATCTAAATGTACGCAGAGAAGATGCCAAGAGAATCTCCCTTGGAAAGGCATTTCATGAGGGTTGGAGGCATTTTATTACTGAAATGCATGTTGGCATTCTGTCAGTCAGTTCACCTCATTTGAAGGGAATCTATGCTGCAAAAAGCAAATGGAAAAATTGGGTGTAGATGAAGCACTTCCCAAATGCTATTTCCAGAAATTGGGCAGCATGGTTTCCCTCAGTGCCATACCACTTTTAGTCCCATTCATCCTCATAGCAGCTTCCTGCCATCACTTACCATCATTCCTATTTTACAGAAGAAGAACATCTATCCAAAGAGATTTCCCCTCCAATGATTCAGAGATCAAGTAAAACAGCCTTGCTTAACCTGGGCTCCTCCAGTTGTGCAGGAGTGCAAATCCTATCATTCCCAGTCAGCATAGCAATTGGACATGCTGGCTAGGAAAGACGGAAATTGCAACTCAACACTTCAAGAAGGCAGTAGGTCTTCAATCAACAAGAATCTTCCCCCAGGAAGGTATCCATTAGCACTAAAAATGTGAGCTTTTCTAAATGAGGCATTTATAGTACGCTTGTGATTCTTCACTCATGGCAGTTTATGAGTGTTTTAAACCACTTCATCATCCTCCAGGGCCTTTCCCATGCTTGGCAACTATTTCTGCAGCAGTTATAGATGGAGGACAATGTAGCAGTACTCTGAAATGGCATTGCACTGCAGTGCGCCTTGCGCTTGCGTGGAGAAAGAGACTCCCCCACCACACTTGCTTGTCTCTGTGTGTGTTTATGTAGAGGCTGGTATTAATCCTGCAAAGAATCTGGAAACAGAAGCATCCATAAAGTGGTGGATTAAAAGCCCCATGTAGGGAAGTCCTGCACGGTGTGTATGTTGGAGCAAAGCTTCGGCTTTATGCCTTTGTAAGGATTAGTATAATTCTGGCAATGCTTTGGATAATCCGTGCAAGAGCCTTGGCAGGCCCTTACCTGAATGTCTTCCAACAACCCAGTCTTGTGCTTCTTGATGATCTCTATCTCGGTAGCCTCCGTCTCATTCAAATCAGGTGACTCTGAAAGAAAACAATCTTTTTACTCTCCTATAACCCACTGTGTGAGGAGGATAGCATAGGGAAGGATCTGTATTACATTGTTAAGTTGCCCAGTCCCCAAGGAGCTTGGAGCAACACACAAGCCCACACACTGTAGCCACACAACAATGCTGCAGGCGGCTGGGCTGAGAGACCACCATTGGCCCAAAGTCACTGAATGAGCTTCATGTGTCATGATCTGCAAAGCAATGCAAAGCAGAAAGGTCCAAATGTGATACTTTTTTAATGGTTAGACCTAAACAACTACAAGTTAGTATTCAATGCAAGACTGGCCCAAATTCAAAATTTTAAACTCAGTGTGCAAATACTTCTTTGGATGGTTGTACCTCCCCATATTATGCATAGCTAATTGTGGATTTTAGAAGAGGCAATGGATCTCTTGTAACCTCCACTTTGTAACCGGTAGCTACAAATGCATGCAAGTCTAAGCTGCGCTCAGTTCCTTCTTAATTCTTAGGAAATTGAGTAGATAATGTCAGAGATAAGACCACAGAATGACTCACTGAAGGCAAAAGTAGGCAGAAGTAGCTGTCTCAATGGGGTGCGGGGGGTAAACCAACTCCATAGTTAAATAAAGCTTGTCCAGTGCATTCAGCAAGATTCTGCCCAGAATAGAAAGTGGCTGCTATAGCTGGAAATATGTGTACACCAAGGTTCTCATCTATCTGTGAAGGTTGTGGCATTTGCTAGAGCTAAATTAGACACACAGAGTGAGACAAAACCATTCTCTCTTGACTTTATTTGTTGAAGCTACATCAGTTCCAGTGGCCCTAAAAACAATGCTACATTTCACAAAGTGCTTCCTAGGGATAGGCAAGAATTTTGCTCAGTTCTGTAAAATCAGAACTTATACTTTGCTCATTTCTTTACAAATGGTAGACAAACCATTGGGGATGAACCCAGTTCTAATGTGGGAGAAACCTAAGCTGACAGATTTGGCTATCCAGGGCAGGGCTTTGAGTGCTTAGCTCATAAGTTGGGGTTGAATCCTGGTATGTTTACCCATATTTGTGGTGCTGACTTAGGGTTGCCAACATCTTTTTCCTGTCAGCTCCTCATCCTTAACAGTTACATGACAGACAGAATGACAAACAGTTAGGAATAGCTGTAGCTATTGGATTTGGTTGGTACAGATGGGCAAAAAAAAAATCAAGCAGATTTTACCAACTTTGCATATGGGAAAAGATGTATAAGCAACAAATATGGGAACAAGTGACTGATAAATTCACCCATCCCTGGAACTGTCTTTTTAAATATATTGGCAATGGTAACTGCTATTTGGTTTTCATCACATTTTCCCTGTCCATTTGTCTTGGAAACTTTCTGTAGTTTGCATTTCAGATGTAAGACTATTGCTAAATATATGGTCAGAAAAGGGGAACCAATGACCTAGATCTTGGGCAGCATGCAGGGGAGGGGGTGGAAGGAGCAAGAAGAAGAACAAGGAAGGGACATTTTACTTACTTTTTATTTATTATTTTTACTGAAATCGCAAGGTCCCACCAATATTAACACACAATACTGGGGGAGAGGTGTAGGGAGACACTTAGAATTAAGGAATATGGTACCTGGGGTTGGGGGATGTATTGGAACTAAGCTCCCAGTCCTTTCACACAAAAATACACTCCTTCAGTTGGATCTAGATTTACTGACAAAAGGCCCATTGAAACCAGTGGGAGGCAAATTGGTCAGGACTGACTTGTCCATTCATTTCAATGGGTCTACTGGGAGTATGACTCAGGTTGGATGTCAGGAAGTACTTCCTGGCAGTTAGGACCCCTAGAACATGAAATGGAGGTGGTTGAGGCTCCATCAGTGAGGGTGTTTAAGGAAAGATTGGACAACCACATGCTGGGGATAACAGGAGCAGAGCTGGGGACAGGCTAGATGGCCCAAGAGACCCCTTCAGACTTGTTTTGTTTCTATGTTTCTATGATTCAATTTGCATCCAACACCTGGTGGGTGTGTTCCCCAACCACGACTTTCTTGATTTTAGAATCTTAGTAAGTCTAAGAAAGCCACTGCAGAAAGCCTCTTGTTGTAAGTAATTGACTGACAGTCAGAATCCTCACCCCACTGAATCCAGAAAGGGTTGAACATGCAGCACTCATATTAAGTTCAAAAGATTTTAGTGCTTAAATAAGTGATGAAGTTGTATTAATTGCCACGAGGCTTAAACAAGCTTAACATCTTCAGGACTGTAGGCATAGAAAACACATTCTCACAGGGCAATCCTATATATGCCTTCAAGAGAATTAAGTTCCACATAATTCAATGGTGCTTACGTCCAGGCAAGAGGGTGTAGGACAGCATTCCAAGCCTTTATTACAGAAGGGATGCTAGCCACAGAATGGTCCCTAGTCTAGAATACCTTTCCAAATGCAAAGCAGAACAATACAGGAGTATTTGAGAGATGGGTGTCAAAGATCAAGAACAATGCAGAGAAGTTGTGGAGTAGATAAGTGACTTGAACAAGGATAAATAACAGTGGGAGCACCTTGACATCAAACGAACCATTTGGGGCATTTTCCATCATGAATGTGGAAGTATTATTTAGGGGGTTGCCTGGGCTCAGTACTTTTCCAGACTTCAGATGCCCGTTATGTTTGGTCACTCACGAGTGACCTTGGATACAGAACACATACAGATGAGTACTTCCTGCTTTGCAAATTGGACTTGTTTCCTGCACTTGAGGGTATTTCAGTAGGGGAAAATGACACATTTCAGAAGACACACAAAGGCTTTTCATAGACAGAGTTCTGTTTTGGGAAGAACTGAACCAGAGACTTCAGGAAACTTTGGAAACAGTCAGAGTAACAAAGCTGAACTTGAATAGAGAGATCAGATTAGAGCCCATGTTGGTGAGCAATTAAAAAAGCAGGACAATCAAACTGATGCAATCCTTCTTTCTGTCTCTCCAGTGCCTGCCTGCAGTGCTAAAAACTTAGCACTGGCTTTGAGAAAAGAAACAGCTATTTTGCAGCCTTACACTCTCAACATTCTAAATATAAAACTGAAAGAAGTACCAGTGCATCCCTGTGTTTGAAATGTGCACGTTCTATGAGATCCATGAAGTCAACGCATGCTTTGAAAAAGGCGTTAAGCAGCACCATGCAATGAGACTACCCATAACCTTCTGTGCATGGAGGATGATGGGCATCCTGTGGGGTGGGGCTGGAAGAAGCTGAGAGGTAAGGGTTCCTTCTGTGCTTTTCCCGCCCCACAAACCAGGAAACAGACAGATTTGGGCCTATTCAGAGTTTTCACCCAAGGCTGAGGTGCCTCCAAGATACTGCAGAGATCTCCCCCCTTCCTACCTGCAAAAGCCCATCGCTGAGGTTGCTCCTGCGACTGCGCAGCTGCAGCCAGTGCAGGTCTTTCCACACTGGTTAAAAGGACAGAGGGAGGGAGTGCTGAGTTCAGTGTCCCAGCACTAGCCTTGGGGTAAGCTTCTGAGGTCAAAGGTGGGAAACCAAATTATCCTGCAGCCAACTAGACTATCTAGCAGCCATAGGTCATACCGTGAACAGAGAAGGATTCATTTAAAAAGTTATCCCACTTGTACAGCAGTCAAATGACTCCTGGAGGCCTCTGAGAGTTGCTGGGCCCAGGCCATTCCGGGCATAAGTCTCAGCATTGTTATTGGAGCTTATGATGGGTGAGCAAAGAGGTCCATGATGGATTGTAAACCACTGAGAACAATCCTTTTTTCTTAAATCAAGGCCTGGAATTCAGACTTGCTAACAGTTAATTTGAGGACTTGCTGAAACATTGCAGGACAGTTTGAGGTCTGACCACTGGATTAAATTAAGCCTCGGTGGCTGGTGACAAATGCACAGAAAGAAAAATGGCTGCTCCCCACTGAACTACAGAAGACATCTTTCGTATGTGGCAAGAGTGGTGAAGATGCCCAGATGCAAAGGCGCAGCCCCAAGGATCCAGCAGAAAGGCTGAATCCCTGCAGCACCTGCTGAAAACCACAACTTGCCTGGGGCACCCTTTGCAAGGTGAATGCACAAAGTCTTTGTGGAGTGTTGTAAAACGCATGGCTTTGGGCATCGAATTTTGTGTGCATGCACAAAAAGTCAGGCATGCGCCATTCACAGCCTTGAATGCAGACCAGAACATGAAGACATGATCTGTGAAATCATCAGCAAATGTATACATGTGCTTGCATTTAAAAATTGAGCAAACATCAGTAGAAAAAGTCATTTTAATTGCTCCATTAAAAAATGCACAATTTTATGTTTTAGTGAATGAAAGCAAGTTGCATGGGTTTGCACAATTTTCTCATTTGATACCGCAGGGTTTGTGCAATTTTCCCATTCAGGCAACTAGAACAGCAATCACAAATGCATGTGGAAATTGAAAGCATGATGAACATCAAGATGATGTTTGGAGTAACAGAATGTGAATATTGTTTCTTTGTCCTTCTGTATTTGTGAATGAGTTGACCTTATGCCTTTAAATACCAGGTACAGGTGAATGCAAATGATTTTGCCTTGGAAGTGCATAGCAAATACATTGCAGTGGGATTCAAAGGGGTCTAAGAACCCTGGGGAGCATGTAATAGACCTGGATGTCCCTGAAAACACTTATGGGAAACCAAGAGACAGTTGAATAGAGGCAGTGACATGTTTTCACTTTGCCTCCCTCACTGTCCCCAGGTATATTGGACTTAGACACATACCAAGGCTGAATTGCATCCACTAGGAGTTGTATCCGTCTGCACTCAAGCTTTCTCTTATTTTGTTTCATTGTTCTCAACTCCAAGGTTTACCATGGAATCTTATGCTCTGTTACAGAGAGAGCATTCAGGAGTGTGCTTGTCCACTTCCTAGGTCAACTTCCTTCTCCATGTTCCAGAGAGCAACCCAGGTTTCAGCACATCCTTACCACTGAAAACCTCCGAAGGCCATCTGGAAATCATTAGGGACCACTGGTCTCCAGAAACTGGCCAT